GCATCCACTCTAAAGATAAAATACATTGACGCTAATCTGGCTTCAATTATCAAAAAGCACAATAATGCTTCATGGATATGGTTAGGAATAGCCAATCATGCTGATATCATTGTCAATCAACTCCAGTGAAAAATGGGAACTGGTACTTCTATTCCTATTAACTACCCTTTATGATGGTAGATGCAACCGAGATCAGTCTCTTCAAAGCATCCTCAAGTAGTGGCTGATTTCATACTGAATAATCCCTTTGGTTGGAATCGTATTCAATGGAATCGTCCTTTGGTTCAGTATCTTTATCCTCCCTACTATTGCTCCGTTACATCTGCTGAGAGACTTCAATTTAATCCGAAGCAATAATAAGAACAGTTCTATTGGAGCATCATTCACAATGAAAACATAGTTTACTAGATATGCGGCTCACGTGTGTAGATTACAAATGTCTAGAATCCACATCATATAAGAAGTCTTTTATTAGATATAAAATTAATCATTTTCAGATGCTTAAAATACCCAAGAAAATGTCTCCATTTATCTTTCTTTCCACTTTCCTCGATTTACTATCTCTACCATTGGATTAATGTCTAATGGTTGAGATTTAATATACTATAACAATATTATAATATTAAATAATAAAAATAAATATAGAAATAATTTTAACCTGTACATAAATAAATGCTATGATATTATTATAATCAGACGGCATAGGATTAAAAAACACAAAATTATAAAATATTTTAATAAAAATCTATAGAAGTAAGATGTGCATATTAATTTCTGACTGCTTATATATATTTGTTATTCAATTAATATTATAATAATATTGTTATAATATATTAAATCTCAGCCATTGGTGTTAATCCAATAGTAAAAATAATAAATAAAGAGGAGCAAGAGAGGGAACTAAATGGATACATTTCTATCCTCTTAAAAAATACCGAGTAGTTAGTGCTTATTTTGGAAGATTTTCTGATTTGGATATGCATTTCGAACAAGCAGAATATATTAAGGACTTTAAATACTTTCTCTATTTGTTATTACAATATATTTTTAACTAAATTTTTGCTTTTTTGCCAACATTTAACTAACTTACGCATGTATAGGAAAACTATTTTCGGATTTGGATATGCATTTCAAACAACCAGAATATATTAAGGACTTTAAATACTCTCTCTATTTGTTATTACAAGATATTTTTAACTAAATTTTTGTTTTTTTGCCAACATTTAACTAACTTACGCATGTATAGGAAAACTATTACTGTTAGCGTTGATATCCCAAACATATTATATGCTTTCCAAATTTTATCTTATTTAACTACAGTTGACCCTCTTAAAGCCTAGTCTGAATCATTAATGTTAGAGGCGTTTTAGTTGGAAGAATATATTCAAAATGACTTGTAAATTACAACATAATAATACGTCAAAAAAATATGCCTTATAATAGCAAATGTTGCTATCTCGTAATTTGTTTTTGGTTTTTTTTGGGGGGGGGGGATGTAATAGGTAAGGTTTTTATCTTCTCCATAATAATAGTGCATTTGAATATTGTAACGATGCATGTGAGTTTGAACAAACATTTTTTTAATGGAATAAATTGATATATCTCCTCCTTGCCGTTTTTGCATTGTTATATGTTCCTAATGTTTCATATAATCTAATTCTCTTCATAAACCTCACAATAAGAATCAAAGCAGCTTCCCCTTGCTTGTTTGATGTAGAGTATCTAGTTTTGGTTCTTGTTGAGTCATCCCTTTATGTATGTACGTACGTACGTACGTAGGTATGTACGTAGGTAGGTAGGTAGGTAGGTAGGTAGGTATGTATGTATGTATGTATGTATGTATGTATGTATGTATGTATGTATGTATGTATGTATGTATGTATGTATGTATGTGTGTGTATGTATTATTAGAATGAGTTTTACATTTTAAATGCTCATTATAATTATTCATATACTCACGCATATATGCATCTATGTCTTCACATCAACTGTTACTTAAGGTAAGCTACAACTTGTAGGTTATATTTACTTTCTCTATTAAGACAATTAGTTTGCAAATGATAAATCTTTCACGTAACAGAAAGTGATTCAATGATTTTTTTGGTGTTCAATATCTCATCACGCCCTTCATTTTTTATTTACTCTCATGCAGGCATGCTGTGCGGGGTTGTTGAACGTACTGGGAATTAAGGAGTGCAAGAATAAGGCCATGTTAGGAAATAGATATTTCGCAGATCCTTGTTCTTTCGTCTCTTTACTATGTGATCCTTCCACAGCCATGCTTCAGCGAATCCAGTTTCTTGTTCTTCAACCACTATCCTTCATTTCTTCATTTCAATAATTAAATCATTGATTTTAATATTATGACGCACGGATAGTAAAATTTAATAAAAGTATAAGATATCATCAGAACAGATTTGTAAATTTTACAAGTTATGATTATCAATTTAGCATCACATGATTGCTGCGCAAAAAAAAAAAACATAATTAAATATTCAATTAAAAATTAAGTACAACATTTTTTTTCGATTTGTGGGAACTTGCAAGCTAATGATGTGCAGTTAATCTGCATCCATCAAGCGAGTAGCTTAATTTTGCCCACGACGTTATCGTTGACCAGAGGAAAAAAACACAATTTGATACCTAATAGGAAATATAATAGCAATCCACTAATTGGATACATTATAGTTGACCAAAGGAAAAAAACACAATTTGCAATCGGCCAATATATTTCTTGTTTCATCCTCCAGCTCTCATTTGCAAAGCCTTCCTCTTTTGTTCAAAATTTTCTCTTAATCTCCAATTCATATCAAAGCAACCATAGCAGCTAGCTCATCAGAACCTCAATATGCCTTCTGCATCACGCAATATAATACTCTCTTCGAGACTTTTAGGTCAATTCAGCATAACTTACATCCTTCCCTTCCTCCTCTATATTAATCTCTGCTGCTGCAACTCATGATGTTGAAGTTCCTGTATTGGTTTTTTTTCCCTATCTTAATTTGCCCCTATCGATCTCTAATTTTCCCATCAACTCTGCTTCAACATATACTCATATCTGTGTGTGTGTGTGTGTCTAAGTTCATATATTACTTATCTCTGCTTCTGTTGTTACTTATCTTCTTTACTTTCTATTTGTCTTCAAAATATCCTTAATATTACTTTCTTTCATCCTATATGTTCAAGTGCCACATGGCTAAAACAGACCATGAACGATAAAGAACTTATTGCTAAATAGTTTGCACCCGCTTTTATTACTTCTTTGTATGTAGTTTCTTGAAATCTTGCAACAACTTGTCCTTTATATTTCCCGGCTCTTACAAATGTTTTATGTAGCCTGCTTGTCTTTGTGGATCTATGAGAATTTCGACTCTTCTCTTTTCTATTTTCATAAGTGCATCAGATCTGCATCATCAGCACAGAATTATAAAGCACCCAACAATAACAATTGACAAACCCCACATTCAACATGAATTACAGCCATCCTCACCTGGTCGAAATTGTGGCATCTGATTCTGTGGTACTTTCAAATACTCACATTCTTGAATGGCCCTGCGAAGACTTCAGGTATGTTTTCTGCTTCTGTTCAATTTTGACTTAATTACTTGATTTTGTTAAAAATCAAATTGGCATCAAAATTAAGTTTAGGGATGAAATTTGACTTTGTTTAAGTCAAGCTTTTTAGTGTATTAAATGGCTTGGGGTTTCATGCGGTTTGCTGCGCTTTAGCGCAATTATTTAGGCTATATTTTGTTTCAATGCCCAGTCAAATCGCCACCGCGGACAAAACATTCCGAGCAGTTCCAGAATCTGATAATCCCCAACCATCGTAGGCTTGAATCATCCTCACATCATCCACAATTTTATACTACCTCCGGTCTTTAATATAAAAGCTCATTTGATTTTTATTTTGATCCTAAATATAAGACTCTAGTCTACTTTATCTCTTATATTTATCCTTTTTTTTTCAAGATAGTCCTTGTGATAATGGTAGTTCTAGCCAATAGACTTGATTGGCAAGGATATTTTAAGAAAGACAACATCTATTTATTACAAATAACTAACTTAACTAATTTTCTTAATCTATTCAAATTAGTCAACTAGTTTTTATATTAAGAACTGGAGGTAGTACTATAAAAATGTGCTGCATCGAACCTTAAACCCTCCACTCAAATTTATTGCAGCCGCTGCCGCCACAAACCGCTGTCCAACCCTGCACTTGCAATGATACCCTCTTTTCAGCAGTTAAAGTCACTACATTTCTTCTCAAATCTCACTCCTCCTTCAATCTCTATTTGCGCACTTTGTGAGTTTGTGCGACAGAAATGCTTATACTAGTCTGCACAGGATCTCCTGTTGAGACGATCCAAGCTATGATTTCTCTTTGGTTTGTTTCCTCTTGCAACTTTATGAAGCTGTAATTCATTATTAGAACTTATATGATTTCTCATTGTGATCGAGTCACTAAGAGAAAGTTCATTTCCACCCACCCTGATTGCTTGCATCGCTTACCCGTTTTTACAGGCTTATGTATGAAAGAAGCCTGCTTGGCTACGTGGATCTTTGAGCATTTACTCCCTCCACTGTTTTAGGTGTTCTTTCAATCCTAAATATACGAAAATTTAGCCCTTAGTCTTATGTATTTATTGAATTATTCTTTTTATAATGCCCTCATTTATGGAATATAATTAGTTAGTATCGTTAAGTTTCAATGAGGGCATTTTTTTTCATGTATTTCTTAATTAATCCATGAATTAGTTATTTGTTTTCTGTAAAGAGCACGAGAGAGTAATAGGTTTTCTTTTATTTTTGACAATAAACGTTTAATCAAGAGAATTTTATAGGAAGATGGTAACCTGTATTTAGAGATTGAGGCTTTATTTGGGGTTCTATGCTGCGTGTAGTTGTGTAGCTGTTGAATATTTTTCCCCTCTTGAAGGTATATATTTGCTTTGTTGCTCTGCAGGTTTATTCATCAACATGCAGCTTCTCAGTTTATCATCTCAATATTACTTGTCATCATTGGAGTGCTCTTATCAGATTCATCACTATCCGAAGCAAGATCAGAAATGTTTTGGGCTCTTACCATATTACTAGTAATAATACTCATTATCTATGCCGTCGCCATAGGTGTGATAATGCCTTCTTTTCCGTTTCCATCCTGGCCAGATCTCTTCAGGTCAGTGTGTGCGGGTATCTAGACACTTCCTCCTATTTTTAATATAAAAGCTAATTTGGTATTTAATTTTATTCTAAATATAACATCCTAGGCTATTTTCTTTTTCATATTTATTCAATTTTTTTCCTAAGATAATTCTTGTAGTAGTTACACATGTTAAATGTTTTATCAAATGATAGTTTTAACTAATACACATGATTAACAAAAGTATTTTAGAGAAGATAACACCTATTTATTATAAATAACCAACTTAATTAATTTTCTTTATTTACTTAAATTAGTTAACTAACTTTTATATCAAGGACCGGAGGTAGTATGTGTATACATGTATATGTATATATCTTGTCATTTTTAATTTCCTCCAATGCTTCTGTCATTGGTTTCTCTATTTTCTTTCTTCCTACATATGAAAGCTCTTCATGGAGCAGATTTTTATTAATTTTATGCTTATGCAGGTTTAGTGCTCATGTAGCATTAGGGTTTTTAATCTCAACACTGCTTGAGGAATTCTCTGTAAGGTTGTCGGCTGTTATCTTATGGTTATCCATCTATAATGCCGACACGATACTTGCTCAATATACATCAATCGCAGGTTTCTTGAGGTCATTGTATATATCTTCTCACTCTTCTGTCATATCTTAATCTTAACTTTCTTATATGTTATTTCTATATCTCATAAAAGCATGGGAACCTATTCAAGACATTTATGGATATAGAGGCGATGTTATCTCAGGTTCTCTAGCTTGTGCAGTATTAATATCATTCCTCATCTCCGGGGATGAGACGCCAATTTATGTCTTCCCCATCTGGGCAATATTGGTTTTTTCATATTTGAAGAACAACGAGGCATCAATTCTAGGAAACGACAGTGATTCCACAAGTAGTGTCTGGGATTCTCCAGTTAAGTCTCAGGGCATGCCCAACATTTATGTTTCTTTAACTTATTTTTAGGATCATGTGCTTTTGGACTATTTGTTATACATACATGATCGGTGTACTACTTTTTGGTATAACTCAGAGTATTTTTAAGTCACTTTGGATTTGAGAGTAATCTCTGTCGAGCCAGGAGTTTTAAGGTTAAAGCCCTTCCAACAAGTGCACTTCTTAGTATTCAAACTCGTGTTCTCCTCCTTATGGGAATGAAACTGCTTACCATGTTGGTGATTGAGGTACTGCTTTATTCTGTATTTGCCTTTTCTTGCAGATATGTTTCTTTCATAGAAAAATGATTGGATTATATCAGGTGTTTAGTATAAGGTTGACTTGGGGTTAGGGTACCCTTAGTCAAGAGTCTGGGCAAAAGATTTTTCAAAGAATGCTTTTATGAGTATCCGTTTTATTCCAAGTCAAATCAAACCCTTGCGAATCCAAGGAAGCAACTGCCAGTTACCAGCCACGGCGACCCACTTGACCTTTGTTTTTTCAAATCCAAAGCATGATTATGAATTTATGATGCAATAGTTATTTTCACTTAACTGAATTTACTCTTTTTCTATCCTTCAAACATGATTAGGAAACATTTTCTTGCATGAAAATCGATATTGACTATCGTTGAATGTTAAGATGAACAATTTCAACAAAAAATTTAATTAGAAAATAATTGTTAGATTCTTTATCTATTCAATTTTATAACATTTTACATAATTTTAATCTTAATATTTACGCATTTTCCTCTATATAAGAGTCATTTTATTTGTTTATATTTTTGGCAAAAATGATTGTCCTCACTGTCTCCGGTCCTAAGTCCTACCTAGCACTAGCTAACGTCCAATATTGACTGAAGTCAGCAGGGTTCACACCTATAATTTCCAAAATCAAAAAGCTGTCTATAATATTAATAATTAATCCGTTTTGTACCAAAAAAAAAAAAACCAGATTAGCAAGCATAACTCACAGGCCCAGAGTTTTAGAAGGCAGTTCATGAATCACAATGACTAGTACCACAGGCCCAGTCCAGGGCCCCATAGAGATGAAAAGCTACAGCCATGAATCGCGAACATTTAATAACGAAGGGAGGTTCAAAGTTCTATTAAAAGAGGTATTAAATACCTGATAATCTATCAAACATGATTATTTCTAATAAAAAGATATCTATGCCTAGTCCAAAGAAAAATTATGAAAGAAACGGATAGAAATTAAGCCATAGAGATCCATATACATACAAATCTCGAAGAAGAGATTTTCCTGCTTCACCCACATAGCTTCAGAGCATTCAGCTAGTGAGATCGACGACCACGGTGAAACAATCCACAAAGCGCCAGTGTTAAAAAGCTATTTGACCCAGAAAAAAGTGTTAACAGCTAAAACCGTACATCTCATATAAGAAATACTACTTCTGGTTTCTAATATAAGAATTTGTTTGACTTTTATTCTGGTCCTGAATATAAGACCCCAATCTACTTTCTATCTTATATTTATCCAATTTTTTTGAAGGTAGTCCTTATAATAATGATAATTTTAACCAAAATATATTTGATCAACAAGGATATTTTATGAAAAATAACACCTATTTATTACAAATAACTAACTTAGCTAGGTTCTTTAATCTACTCAAATTAGTCAACTAACTCTTATATTAAGGACCGAAAGTAGTAACATTATAAACTAGAGTAAATGACAGAATCCTTTTCATCTTCATCTTCGTATCTTTGAAACATTAAACGAGAGACATTCGTCTATTGGAAAGAAGAAACAGTATAAATTAGAGAAAAGCATGTAGTATTATACATATAAATTAGAAGAAACAGATAATGCCACCATATGTGTGTGCGTGTGTGTGTACACACTACACACACATATATATTTGGGCAAACCATCTACTGTTATATATTTTTGATTGATCAGGTGGGATATGTCCATTTGTAATTGGTAAAATATGTTGATGTCATCTTTTGCACAAATTGAGAGTTTGGATATTTATAACTTAATTACAAATAAATGTGTTATTATGAATGGGAAGATTAATCTTTAATCTTTTAATTTTTAACTCATTTATAATTCAATCCCTCAATTGTGATTCAGTGCAACTAAGTCCCTAAACTTTTCATTTACTTATGACTCAATTCTTTATTTATTTTTTATTATTTATTTATTTTATTATCATTCTTGTCATTTATAGCTCACTATCTGCAGCTTCCTTTTTTCCCCCTCTTCGTTCTTACTCCAATCCTTTCCTCTTTTATTTAGATTTTTTTTTTGCCCGCAAAAGCCATGTGAAGCTGCGTTGGAACAAATTTAACAATATTATAGATATGACAAGTTGACTATATTTCCTTTTAACAAAATATATCAATATCCTCCTACAAAGATTTCCATAGAACCTCCCCTAAAAATGAGACCTCCCATAATTTCTACAGAGATAGTCTATTTCAACTTAGCCACGAAACATTCCGTTGCACATCGTTGACCTTGGGCGCACTAAAGCTTTTGTTTTTCTTCTTTTTGCTAGTTGAGTTGAAATTAAATGAACCTGTAATCTTTAAACGCAAAATTAAATATGCAATATTCCTCGGGCACATGCACGCATATATAGAGTTTAAGTATTAGTTTTTCTTAAGAATCTTTAGTCAGTAAAAATATTTCCAGTAAATACTATTATAATAGCTAATTAAAAATAAACAAACTTAATAGGCAAAAAACAAAAATAAATAAAACATACATCAAATCAAAATACTTGAAGTGTGGGACGAATGATGAGTTGTAAGTGGTGAAATTTAGAAGTTGATGCACTCCCACCTTCAAGATTAGTAGACAACGTCCCCATATTTTTCAATGAGGTGTCACTTTCACTCACAGTGAATAGTTATTAATGAATAATAGTGGTAGGGTATTTTAATAATCTATCAGGTTTTAATAATAAAAAATAGGCAAGCTTAAACAAGTTGGTTCACAATCCTGATAGACCAGCTTTTTTATTTATGAGCCTTTGGCTATTTAAACCCAATTTCCTTTTGTTAAACTCTCTAAAACACAAGCCTCACCCAATCACCCCATACTTAAACAAGTTCAAACAGGCTCGACCTGTTTTGATGGCTCCACCCATAAACATATAATTTTTATATTATACATATACACATAAATATAAATAATTTAATATGATTTAGTTACTTATATCGCATATGTTAAAATTATGTAATTTTGGCTAAAAAAATTAATTAATCAGCCAACAATAGGGTTTTTAAATCAAATATATTTGTCTTGAGGTGTTTTTTAATCTTTAATACCTCTTTTTTTAGCCTTACAATACATTAGGGACCGTTGTTCTATTTCTCTTAAATTTGTGTAATTTCCATAAATTTTTGGTAATTTTCTATAATTGAACTTAATGACAAAACTTTGCGAATTTATATTTTGGACCCATAATTTGCCATTCCCATAATCCTCTTTAATATCTAATGAGGGTCTTAATATAGCTCATTCTTTTTTTCCTAGCTCAAAATATTTTTTGGATCACTTTTTAGTTTTAGCTATTACCATGTAATTTCATTGTATTTATTTACACTCTAGGATCTTATCTTTCAATAATTACAGCTTGTTTCCAATTTACTGTTAATCTGTTTTCCCCCTTAACTTGGACCTTTCATTTTTTAAATTTAGGTCCCTTTTCCCTTTCATCCTAGCTTGAAACTTTCTCAGAATCCCTAAATATATTTATATCCTTGCCCTCTAAAGATGGTTAATTTACAATTTAGTCATCCCTAGACCCTAGGAAACATTCTATCTGTTTAGGAGATTCCTTATGCTCACCTGGACTTAGGCATACTTAATTCAAGCTCATTCTCGAACTTCCTAACCCAAGAAATTTAGGATATTACATCTATAAATAAAATAAGGATTATTATCGTGCAAGAAAAAAACAAGGGATTTCGTTGGCCAAAAAAACAAGGATTATAGTCAACGTACGCTTTGAATTATGAATTATCTAACACTACGCCCTGCCTTTAGTAAAAGAGCTATTGTACTAAATATGTATGATGAGAGCCTTTGTCCTTCGTTTTGGGATTTCCGATAAAAAATAAATCCAAACAATTTAATATAGTGCAAAACTCGGGTTGTTTCACTTTGAGGAGCCTTTATTTGAAATCCTAAGCAAACTAAGTATCAAAAATAAAAAATTGACTTGGAAAGAGATTGATTTTCTTTTTAACTAACTAATTGGCAAAATTTAAAAGGATGCAAAATTAGTAAACAATTTTTGGATTTTTAGTTTACAAAATGGATATGAATGAAATAAACAAAGAGAATTAACAAGTGACAAGAAATGAAAAAGCAATCCTTTAGCACAATGATTAAGGCTATCATTACTTCAATTAATTTGGGAGTTAGCTAAATTTAAAAGATTCTAAGGGCCACCCCTTAGATTCGGTTTAGTTAGAATAATCAACACTTGTTAGAATGGCTGATCACCCAAGAGGGGGGGTGAATTGGGTGTTAATTAAAATCAAAAACCTTTTCGCAATATAATTAAATTCATAAGAAATTCTGAATATAAAAACAATGAATCGACATAAGTATAATCACAGTAGTAAAATGGTTTAGCTGGAAATATAAAAAGGTAAGGGAAGAGAAGATGCAAACTGTGATTTATCCTGGTTCGGTCCTCACTGACCTACGTCCAATCCCCAGGCTCCCCCTGAGATTTTCAATCGACTATCTCCCTCAAGTTTAACACGGGTACTTGAGAACCACTACAATCACAAGTTTGATCCGGGCACTTGTGACGCCACTTACAATTCTTAGACTAACCAGTCTAATTCAACAACAACCTCTCACTGAGGTAATACTCCCCCTTACACACCGTAAGGATACAATCTAATAATGATAATGAAGATTGAATATTTCTTCCCTCAAAGAAGTGATAGATGAATCTTAAGTACGTTTGGGAAACTCTCCTCTCTATCTTACGGATACATATGTTTTCGTCTATGGAG